CTGGCTATACCGCCACACTCTTGAATCAATTTTGCTGGTCTCTTGTGTTTAAAAAAAAATAGATCACATTTCCTTTAATAATAAGGGCGGCAGGTAGCTTAGTGGTTAAGAGCGTTGTGCCAGTAACCGAAAGGTCGCTGGTTCTAATCCCCGAGCCGACTAGGTGAAAAATCTGTCGATGTGCCCTTGAGCAAGGCACTTAACCCTAATTGCTCCTGTAAGTCGCTCTGGATAAGAGCGTCTGCTAAATGACCAATTATTATTATTTATTTTATCATGAGCCAAACACAAGAGACCAGCAAAATGGTGGGGGGCTTTTGACAATTTTTTGGGATTCCTCATGTCTTAAGGCGTCAGCATGCTTCAGTACGACTGGTGCCTAGCCGAACTCGGCTAGCCGAACCGAACAAGTGTGCTTGCATAATCCCTTAAAAGACCTTCGCTTGAAAAACGAGACAAAAGTGGCAATAGTACTGTTTGTCCATTTTGAGACGCCATAGCCAGTATTCTTCAAAATAGTCATAATTAATCTAAGATAACTCAAGAAATCTGTCATTCATTTTGACGTTTTTGCCGAGGAGATCTTAGTCGTAAAATTTTACATCTATCTAAGATGTTTGGTGCAGTATTTCTCAATGAAAAATGTGCATGTAAACGAATTGTCTCTCGTTGAATGACAACAAAGACTTTATTGAAGAATCCCTACTGTTCACCAATCACCGACGAAGGGGCGTAGACTTTGGCTCTGAACTTCGGCTTGCCTCCAGAAAAAAATGTTGTGTGCCCGAACTGCGAATAAAACCCTCACTGAATTCCAAACCGAACAAAAAAACATCACAAAATGTCATCATAATATATGCACGAACTCTTACGAACTGTTTCTGGTGGGAAGAATGCGGACGCCTTTACTTATTGGTAGGAAGAGGTTTGGTCCAAATCGAATGTTAGGTACTATATTTATTGAAAATTATCTGAATCCTATAAATTAAAATGGCCAATTTGGGTGCAATCAATTAGCTTAATTTCTCTGATATAAAATGTACTTTCAACAAAAGCCGGGGGAGGTGGGGGTGGGGGGGTTCTACTAAGCTATATAGAATTGTTTTAAGAAGGTCATACCAAGGATCATTTTACTATTTGATTATGAATTTTAAGACCCTTTGAAGTATCCCCCCCCAAAATATATATATTTGATTAAAAAAAAGATTTGGCCTTACTGCTATTAGCCTACACAAACGCATTGAATAACATATTCACTACATGGAACAACAGATAGTCCCCCCAAAAAATCTAAAAGAAATTTGTTCTGAAGTGTCTATCCTATATCTAAGAGAGATAGGAAAGATCAGCAAACATTTTTATTTAATTTTTGACATGTATTTAACCACTTATTTTTTTCACTAAACAGTCTTCATATACAGTACCAGTCAAAAGTCTGGACACACCTACTCATTCCCGGGTGTTTCTTTATTTTTACTATTTTCTACATTGTAGAATAATAGTGAAGACATCAAAACTATGAAATAACACATATGGAACCAAAAAAGAGATTCTTAAAAGTAGCCACCCTTTGCGTTGATGACAGCTTTGCACACTCTTGGCATTCTCTCAACCAGCTTCATGAGGTAGTCACCTGGAATGCATTTCCATTAACAGGTGAGCCTTGTTAAAAGTTAATTTGTGGAATTCCTTTCCTTCTTAATGTCACGCCCTGGCTCTGGGGACCCTTATATTGTTGAGCCAGGGTGTGGAGTTTCTATGTGTTATTTTCTATGTTGTGTTCTAGTTCGTGTTTTCTATGTTGGCCAGGGTGGTTCCCAATCAGAGGCAGCTGATTCTCATTGTCTCTGATTGGGAACCATACTTAGGCAGCCTGTTGGCACTTTTGTTTTGTGGGATCTTGATCCGTAAGGTTTGTGTTTAACCCTAGGACTTCACGTATCGTTTATTGTTTTGTTCGTGTCTGTACTCATTAAAAGAATGTACGCTTATCACGCTGCGCCTTGGTCCGCTGTTTCTAACGATCGTGACACTTAATGTGTTTGAGCCAATCAGTTGTGTTGGGATAAGGTAGGGGTGGTACACAGAAGATAGCCCTATTTGGTAAAAGATCAAGTCTATATTATGGAAAGAACAGCCCAAATAAGCAAAGAGAAATGACAGTCCATTACTTTGAGACATGAAGGTCAGTCAATCCGGAACATTTCAAGAACTTTGAAAGTTTCTGCAAGTGCAGTCGCAAAAAACATCAAGTGCTATGATGAAACTGGCTAACATGAGGACTGCCACAGGAATGGAAGACCCAGAGTTACCTCTGCTGCAGAGGATAAGTTCATTAGAGTAACTGCACCTCAGATTGCAGCCCAAATAAATGCTTCACAGAGTTAAAGTAACAGACATATCTCAACATCAGCTGTTCAGAGGAGACTGCATGAATCAGGCCTTCATGGACGAATTGCTGCAAAGAAACCACTACCAATAATAAGAAGAGACTTGCTTGGGCCAAGAAACACAAGCAATGGACATTAGACTGGTGGAAATCTGTCCTCTGGTCTAATGAGTCCAAATGTGAGATTTTTGTTTCCAACCGCCGTATCTTTGTGAGATGCAGAGTAGGTGAACAGATGATCTCCGCATGTGTGTTTCCCACCGTGAAGCATGGAGGAAGAGCTGTGATGGTGTGGGGGTGCTTTGCTGGTGGCACTGTCTGTGATTTATTTAGAATTCAAGGCACCCTTAACCAGCATGGCTACCACAGCATCCCATCTGGTTTGCGCTTAGTGGGACAATCTTTTTTTTTTTCAACAGGACAATGACCCAACACACCTCCAGGCTGTGTAAGGGCTATTTGACCAAGAAGGAGAGTGATGGAGTGCTGCATCAGATGACCTGGCCTCCACAATCACCCGACCTTAACCCAATTGAGATGGTTTGGGATGAGTTGGACGGCAGAGTGAAGGAAAAGCAGCCAACAAGTGTTCAGCATATGTGGGAAAAGCATTCCAGGTGAAGCTGGTTGAGAGAATGCCAAGAGTTTGCAAAGCTGTCATCAAGGCAAAGGGTGGCTACTTTAAAGAATCTAAAATCTAAAATATATTTGGATTTGTTTAACACTTTTTTGGTTATTACATGATTCCATATGTGTTATTTCATAGTTTTGATGTCTTCACTATTCTACAATGTAGAAAATAGTAAAAAATTAAGTAAAACCCTTGAATGAGAAGATGTGTCCAAACTTTTGACTGGTACTGTATACTTCCATACATTTTTTAGACTGGTACCAGGGACCTTCAGACGAGTCTTGTGAGGCCTGTGGGTGTCCTAGAGTAAAAAGCCATCGTGTTCGTGAGAGTCTAATTTTCCATAGATGGGTCATAATAGTTTGTAGGCCAAACCGTTCGGACGCTACAGACGATTTTGTGAGAAGACAGATTTTCGGGATGTCTCGTGACGTCTTATGGTCTGACAAACACTGCTCTAGCTCTGTAAACTTTCACCCCAGATGCGGAACTGTTACATAGGCTGATGTAGTGGATTGAGATGCATCCAATTTAAAAAAACGGATATCTCTAGTTTAATCTGACGATTCATGCGAATGTGTTAATTATGATAATTATATTTATCCTATAAACTACTACTGGTTGTAGCCATCAATTGTCCCATTAACAATCACCCATGTTAGCAAACATATTTAATTTCAAACGTTACATTTCTCTAGTATAGGCTTCTTATCGTAATGAACGATATCAGCAAAATGCCTGCGATAAGTGATCGGTATGGTCGGTGTCGATCATTTTTGGTTTATCGTCCTAGCTCTACTCTGTGATCTCTACAAGATGATCCAGATAGACTAGTAGATTATTTCAGGAACCCTACATTATTAGAGCTAACATATAAATACCACATTGCAGGTTTTACTGTATATGACCCCTGGCTTTTTTTGTGTGTAGCATTTTCAGTCATTAAATGTGAGAAGTGTTTATTAGTTAGTTATGTCAGACCTACGTCCACTGCACACGTGACACTAGTATTATGGTATGAATTAAAATGTGTTGAAATGATGTACTGATGTACTGTGGTTTGAGAGATAAAGGCTGCTATAGAAAGATATCAGGATAATATTATAATGTACTCATCACCAGAAAGCTCTTCAACAGTCTCCCGACAACGATGGTGCAGCATGTCTCACAAAGAGTGATGGCACTGAGTGACGGCACAGAGTGACGGCACTGTTGCACCATCAGATCTCATATTTCAGGGTCCAGTTTTTCCAGAATGAAGAAGAAACACTTTTTTTGGGTCATTTTATTTGACCATGGGAAAAAAAGTGCTACTGCGTAAATAGGTTACCACATTGCAGTTTTGATTGCATTAAAACTTTTGGCATTGTCTATAGTGAATGTGGGCGTTGTATACTGCAATGAAACATCATAGATATATGTACATTGTCTTCATTACAGCTTGTGCCAAGCAGACCTATGTGTACTGGAGTCTTGACATTAGTATGATGGTATGACTGCAGCAAATTCCCAGAGTTAGCATGATCTACTGTGGGCTGGGAGAAGGCGGCCATTGAGGCATATGAGGATATTATTTCTGTAGCTCTTAATCAGAAGGTTTATTTGGCTCTTCAACAGTCTCCCAATAATGTACTGTGCTGCATGTCTCACAAAGAGTGACGGCACAGAGTTTTCTCTCCGTTAGTCAGCACCTCTACATATACTTTGGGGTGTGTGTCAGCTCATGCATTTTATCAGAATGAAGAGTTGAGATGTTAGAAACATCATTCCCTGACTCACAGAATGTCAGAAATATAGCATAGCTAACAAATGTACCTACTTAAAGCATATGCATATCATTGATTACTGTTTAATTGACATTCAGGTGGTCCTTGAAGGCCTTTTCTAAGGGGGGCTTTGTGTGTTGGTGGGGTTTTGTGTGTGTGTTATTACATTGGTGCGCATCCCAGTTTTAACAATGTGTGTGGGACTCTTTTGTGCAGGGTTAGAGTGGCATGCCCAGGTGCAGATATGACCACAGATAAGGACCAGTCCATGGATGACCAGTCTCCTGCTGTGGTCTTTGCTGCCAAGGGCATCGACGTCACTCCTAACAAAGATGAGGGAGTTCTCAAGGTAGGCTTCAACCTCATTCCCAACCTCCTCTGTCAGGGACAAACTCTGTCTTGACATACAGCAACCTGGTCTCAGAGCATTTCGTATTATTTTGTACGTAAACTGAGACACTCCTTTTGGTATGATATGTTACGTTTCGAATGGTATGTATTAATTTGTGGATGTGCATGATCCATTTCGTATGATACAAAGGGTTAGGATTAAGGTTAGGGTTAAGGTTAGGAGTTAGGTTAAAGGGTTAAGGTTAGGAGTTAGGTTAAAGGGTTAAGGTTAGTGTTAGGGGAAGGGTTAGCTAACATGCTAAGTAGTTGCAAAGTAGCTAAAAAGTAGTAAGTAGTTGAAAAGTTGCTAATTAGCTACAATGCTAAAGTTGTCCGTGATGAGATTCCAACACGCAACTTTTGGGTTGCTAGATGTTCGCGTTATACGCCCACCCATCCACCCCGGCCAACCACCTCCTCCATTTTTGCCTGTAACCATACCAAATGTAACATATCCCACTAATTTGAGTGTTTCAGGTTTACATTTACTATGTTACATCTAGTCTATGAGACCAGGCTGCATACAGGAGTCCAGCTCAACATATTAAATGAAGCATGCACACAAAGTCTTCCCTTTGGCACAGTAATCAGAGAGACTTCAGAGAAATGCATCTTTCATAATTCTGCCACCACTCAAGAGTATTCCTTTGTATTGAGCACATCCTCCTGTCCCGGTGTTACTTCTAAAACAGAGCATAGCAAAAAATGCATAACTGTTAGGATGAAAAATAATAATAGGGGGTACATGAAAAAGAAATATTTTACATGAAGAAACCATCATCACTGTCTAGCTAGAGAAACAAGTACTAGCATGCTGAGGAGATTATCTCAGGGCTGACATCTGTTCTTTGTACAGGTGGTGAAAAACCAGGGAGAGGATGGGGACAGACCCATGATTGGGGACAAGGTAGCAGTGCACTACACTGGCAAACTACTCAATGGGAAGAAGTTTGACTCCAGTATGGAACGCAAGAAACCCTTCACCTTCAGTCTGGGAAAGGGTATGTCCGAGTCTGCCTCTTACTGCACTACTTGTTTCTCAGATACCTTTTCAGCTGAAGAGGAACTGTCATCAGGACATACAGATGTACATATAGCATATATTATACTTACATCTCACATTTATGTGGCACCTGTGTGACATCTGTATGTGTGGAAGGGGCAATGAGTGTGAAGGGGGGGGGGGGGGGGGTGTAACATCTTATTAATCCGTCGTATGTATCGCCCATATGTCACTGCATATGTCAATGCATATGTAGCCTACATCTGTTCATCATGTCTCTAATTTTATATCACTCCACAGGTCAGGTGATTAAGGGCTTGGATATTGGTGTCTCCTCTATGCAGAGAGGAGAGGTGTGCATGCTCCTCTGTAAACCAGCATATGCTTATGGGTCAGCTGGATGCCCGCCCAAAATACCTCCCAACGCCATGCTACAGTTTGAGGTAGGTAAAGCATAGTGCTTTCCAAGGGGATGATGGAAATAGGCCTTCCTCTGCACGTAACAGGTTTCCCCTTTATATTCTGACTGCACATTGTCCTAGATTCTCTCTCGGCATTGTGAACAGAACACATAACACTGTCTCTGTCATAATTTTCATCATTATGGAATCTTATGATTACCATTGTGTAAAAGTGTGCCACTGCTGCTAGTGTTGCTATGGCAACACATGGATGTAACGTGACGTTTTATTGTGTCCTTACGTGTTTATTCACTTCCTGTAGGTGGAGCTGCTGAGCTTCAAAGGGGAGGTGCTGACGGACGACGGCGGCATCACAAGGAGGATAAAGGTCAAAGGGGAGGGCTATAATAACCCCAACGATGGATCAACTGTCCACGGTAAGGCGGACATGCTCTCTCTCTATCACATTCACTGTGATCTTGGTGATCAATATGTTTAACTGATTTTGGTACAAAGGCTTTGTCTCACATTAACCAGGTTTCCATCCAACCTTTTTATGTGAGTACAGTACATGGAAATGACAAATTCGTCAGTCAACTTTCCAAATGTCGACAAAACAAATTATGCTAGAGAAAGTGAGCTCTTTTTGTGTTGGTAAAATGCATTATGTGAGAAATGGCGGTATTATTGTAACCATCATATCAAAGTAAACTTGGTCACGCAATTATATGTTGTGTGGTCCTCTCACTACAACTCGGGAAAGCATGCAGTTTAATTTATTAGGCTGCAGATGAAATAAGTTATGTTGAACTTCACAGGGTGGTGAAAGTGCAAGGTGATGAGCTTAATGCTCCTTTCCAATAAATATTGAGGGTCTTATTCTGGTGACATGATGATCGATGCTTGGCTGCTGTTTGACAAATAAAAATAATATTTTGTCCATAATAATGTCATCATGTAGGCTAGCCTACCCGCACTGTATATCTGCAAGCTGTTGGGTAGAGTGCACGTGCCAAGACCAGAGTGGGCATATTCGCTATATAACTGCAATTTATTTTGTGACAAAACCATCAGTAAAGTTGAAAATGCGATGGAAACCTATTTAACTTGTATTTTTTTATTCGGTACATGGGAATTTAACCACAAAAGTTATTTTTATGTGCAGTACGTCATCATTCACAGCCTTTTATCTGCAACAAGTCAATTTGATGGAATCGCATATCTGGTGGGAAAATGCGCATATTGTTTTTATGCAGATTTTTGGATGGAAACCTAGCTAATGACTGTGATCAGATTGATTGAGATCAAAATATTTATCGATTTTTATACAGTCTCAAACAAGACAAAAAAACATATTGAACACTCAAACTAAACATGTTGTGAACAATGAAAACTACATTATGTGATCTGAACAGCCTATTCCCATTAAGTAAAATATAATAATATTAATATTTTCCATTTAAAAAAATCTTGTTTTCAATTGCCTCCTGTATCCCACAGTGCACCTGGAGGGTCGCTGTGAAGAGCGTCTGTTTGACTCCAGGGATGTGCACTTCGTGGTGGGCGAGTCAGAGGACATGGGCGTTCCTCTGGGTGTAGACAGGGCCATGGAGAAGATGCAGAAAGGAGAATGCTGCATGCTCTACTTAAAACCCAAGTAAGGGCTTCTAATCTACTCTACTCCCTATCGCTAGTGATGGGAAAACTAGGCTTTCTGAAGGCTTCGGCACTTTCACCAAATTGTGCCAAAAAACTGTGAATTACTCGTAGCTTCATTATTTATTCACAATGCACATTAGTGACATTTGCTGGTCAACAATAAATAGCAGAAAGTGATTATCAGATAGACGTTTTCGTTCTCCACTGGTTTTTATCAAAACTCCCATGGGGCAGCAGTAAGTTGTTGGCTTTAGTAGCCTATAATCAGTTTGAATTCCAGGTTCACATCATGCTTCCCTTTGCCTTCAAGTTTACCATTTTTTAAAAACTGAATTTATGGCATTAGTTAGGATGCTTAAGACAGAAGCTTATACAATACTAAATACATCAAATTATCAGAACAACAGTGCAGAAAGTGTGGTTTCACATAAAACTATTTTCAAAATAGTATGCCTTCAACAGGATTCTACCTCACCCACACAGGACTACCCGCCAACGCCTCGATCACACCAATAGGGGCGGCAGGTAGCTTAGTGGTTAAGAGTGTTGTGGCAGTAACCGAAAGGTCGCTGGTTCTAATTCCCGAGCTGACTAGGTGAAAAATCTGTCGATGTGCCCTTGAGCAAGGCACTTAACCCTAATTGCTCCTGTAAGTCGCTCTGGATAAGAGCGTCTGCTAAATGACTAAAATGTAAAAATGTTGCGCAAACTGGTAGGCAGCATCATCTGGATATGTGTGCTACAAAGGTTCAACATTCACCTTCTGCTACAATTTCTGTCAAGCCGTGAACGCATACAGTTTGACACATACATTTGATAAATCCAACGTATGCACCACACAGAACGTACTGCAACTGCCTCTGCAATGCAGCAAGGCAAATGCAGCGTTCCATTGGAAATTAATGTACCAAAATGCAGTGAGGCTGTCAGTGTGATGGGAGTTGTAAGCTACCGGTCAGGTGAAACTTTTTATACAAAATCCTACAATTATACAAAATCCTACCTATATTTGTAAGTACTATGTCCAGTAGAGGTCGGTGTTTGAAAGCAGCTTGAAATCGAAGAAAGCACTGGAATCATTGCGAAATCAAATCACAAATCACATGAACAGACTAAGCTTCGGACGTCATTGATACATGCATTGGCACACTGCTTCAAAATGTTCTGCTTTCGCCTCGATCACACCGATAGCGTTTTTGCATTTTGGTACACCAGAAGTACATTAATTTCAAATCAAATCAAAATGTATTTGTCACATGCGCCGAATACAACTGTCACGTTCGTTCATAGACGGGTCAGACCAAGGTGCAGCGTGATATGCATACATGTTTATTTGAACCGAATAAACAACGACAAAACAACAAACTAAGTCCAAGGTACACAAACAACATACCTCACACAGAACAAGATCCCACCACTACACAGTGCCAATAGGCTGCCTAAGTATGGTCCCCAATCAGAGACAACGAGCGACAGCTGCCTCTGATTGGGAACCACACCGGCCAACATAGAAATACACATACTAGATAAACACCCATTGAAAACGCACAACAAAGAATATACACACCCTGACTCAACATTTAAGCGTCCCCTGAGTCAGGGCGTGACAGTAACAGGTGTAGACCTTACTGTGAAATGCTTACTTACAAGCCCTTAACCAACAATGCAGTTTTATTTTAAGAAATAGAGTTAAGAAAATATTTACTAAATAAAATGAAAAATGAAAAACGTAACACAATAAAATAACAATAATGAGGCTATATACAGGGGATACCGGTACCGAGTCAATGTGTGGGGGTACAGGTTAGTTGAGGTAATTTGTACATGTAGGTAGGGGTAAAGTGACTATGCACAGATAATAAACAGCGAGTAGCAGCAGTGTAGCAGCAAGGGGGGGGGGGTCAATGCAAATAGTCCGGGTGGCCATTTCATTAAAAGTTCAACAGTGTTATGGCTTGGGGGTGGAAGCTGTTAAGGAGCCTTTTGGACCTAGACTTGGCGCTCCGGTACTGCTTGCCGTGCGGTAGCAGAGAGAACAGTCTATGACTAGGGTGGCTGGAGTCTTTTACCATTTTTTGGGCCTTCCTCTGTCACCGCCTAGTATAGAGGTCCTGGATGGCAGGAAGCTTGTTCCCAGTGATGTACTGGGCTGTACGCACTACCCTCTGGCAGCGTTGTGTTGCAGAGGCAGTTGCAGTGCATTCTGTGTGGTGCATACGTTGGATTTATTGAACGTATGCGTCAAACTGTATGCATAAACGGCATTACAGAAATGGTAGCAGAAGGTGAATGTTGAACTTTTGTTGCACACATATCCAGATGATGCTGTGTACCATTTTGCGCAATGACGCTGTCGGTGTGATCGAGGCGTCAGTGATTTTGACGCATGCCTCGGAGCTCCGGTATCAAACGTAACATCACTACCTATCGCTGAAGTGTCCCTGTTGCAACACAAAGTAGATACACTCATAACCAAATAATGTTGTTGACTCATCCTAGACTCGTATTTGTGGCCAGATCATAAATAAATAAAAATAAAAAACACTTCAAAAACCCCACCTCAAACTTGTATCTCAAACAGACCATAAAAAAAAGAAATCCTGCTATTTCCTCATAGAGGATGATGCCATCATCCTGAGGAGGAAGAGCTAGCCAATCAGTGGTCTACTCGCATGAATTATTTTTAATGACCAGTATACGTCCACACCATTCTGTTGTTGCGGTAAGCCCACACCATTGCAACATATAAAAGCATTATTTTGGAAGGAAAACTATTTCACTCATATTGTAATTAATTATAGATAATATTTCATAGAAATCTGGAAACGCTGCAGTTACTTTAAAGGGTCAATCTGCATTTGCTACATATACTTTTTGATTTATAAATTAATGATATGTACCCATTGATTCTTGAAGACTACAACTTATAAACGCCTCTAGAGCTTAGTTCAACTGTCATACCCCATGAGAACTCCAATGTTTGTAAACAAACATTGCCTCAAAACATGGTTAAAACTATAATTTTGATATCATGGATGGTCAGACCTTGCATCCATAGCTCTGTCTATGAATTTGAGAGTGGTTACATTTCTCCAGCCCCATCCCTCAGCTTTTTACCGAAACAGGGTCGGGAAAAACGCTGTGTTATTGTTTCAACTGCAGATTGCTACTTTAAACAAGCATCCCTATAGACAAATCTTGATTTTAGGTATGCCTTTCATGGAACAGGTGTGTGTCAGGACTAATCAGCCATACAATACTCTGTCTTGTTTTTTGTAGGTATGGTTTCGGGAAAGAGGGTAGAGCACAGTATAAGATTGGACCAAACTCAGACCTCGTGTACGAAGTGACTTTAAACAACTTTCAGAAGGTGAGTTCCACTTGCTGGATTAGACAGGGTAACAACAATGTGTTCAAGTATCCTAATAGTGTCTCTGGAAGATACCAACAGATTGCTTTTATTTGAGCTGGTGGAGTTTAAACAATGAGGGTCTCAGTTAGATATTGCATAATGGCAGAGTGACCCTGGAGAAAGTAATGGGTCGAAACAGGCATCATCTCAATGAAAGTCAAATCGCCTCCTCTGAAATTGATAACAATATGTTTTCTTTTCAAGGCCAAAGAATCCTGGGAGTTGGATCAGAAGGAGAAACTGAAATTGTCTGCTGCAGCCAAACAGAAAGGGACCCAATATTTCAAGGTATAGTGGGCCATCTCTGTCATTCAGACAATAGACAAAATCTCATGGCCATTGGATGCATCTGTGTATGAATATTTCAAAAAACTTGAACCAAACCCTGTGAACTTGCAGAACTTCAACCCTGCAAACGAGTTCACAAGTACGTTTCAGAATTTTTCATTTATTTAACGTTTTATTGAGACAAATAGCGAAATTATCGTAGTGCAAAAGCATTGTACGAAGTGTAAAAATGACCATAAACCTCATTATAACCTGGAAGCGTAATTTCATTTGAAACTTTTCTTCAACAACATGCGTTATGAAGAGGTGACTATTTATGTATTACTAAACTCTAGTTAAATAATGGTCTCCTCATACCACACATTGTTGAAGAGAAGCTTCAAATTAAATCACACTGTGAGATTATAATTAGGTTCACAGTTTTTTTTGTACTTTGTACATTGCTTTTGAACAAACCTACTAAACTTAGCCCATGTGTTGTCCCTGGTTGTAGGCTGGCCGTTACCTTCAGGCAGTGGTCCAGTACCAGCGCATTGTGTCTTGGCTGGAGATGGAGTTTGGTGTGGGCAAGGAGCAGCAGCAGAAGCTCCAGGACTTCCTACTGGCCGCCCAGCTCAACCTGGCCATGTGCTACCTGAAGCTGAGAGAGTACGCACTGGTTGTGGAGAACTGCAACAAGGTACACTGCATACCTGGCACTACGCATGAGAAACCCCACACACAAACATATACACGTATACCATATACTGAAGCCACACAGAGCATGCAGCTAATGCCTGTTCATTGAATAGCATTAAGGTGTGGTGTGTCTATGACTTTTTGCTGGGTCAGTGGGGTTGTATACATGTATTCATCTGTTTGGAAGCATTAAATTTACAATTACACATTTTCAACTTTTTTAATCAGCTTTATAAACTAATAATTAGCTCTTTAAAACTACTTATAAAGCCCTTTATAAATCCCTGTAGGTACACCTTCATGTAATATGTTACAAATGTGTCTATGCGTGTATCTCCTAGGTGATAGAGCTGGATGAGAAGAATGAGAAGGCTCTGTACCGGCGTGGGGAGGCTCGTCTCTTCCGTAACGAGTTCAGCCTGGCCATGTCTGACTTTAAACTGGTGCTGCAGGTCAACTCCTCCAACCGGGCCGCACGCGGTCAAGTATCCAACTGTCAACGCAAGATCCGGGAACACCACGAAAAGGACAAGAAGATCTATGCCAACATGTTCCAGAAGTTCGCTGAGCATGACGTCAAGGTCTGTAACAACGTCTTTCACAGTCTAGATGGGCTCCATTCCAAATGGCACCCTATTCCCTATATAGTGCACTACTTTTAAATAGAGCCCTAAGGGCCCTGGTCAAAAGTAGTGCACTATATAAGGAATAGGGTTCCATTTGGGACGTAGTCTGTATGTGTAATCAGTTGTACAATCTGACCTGCTGGTTCACTGTTCTGTTTGAGTAAATGGATACATGTGATTTCACACATTTATCTATTTCAATCATCTCTGCTGTGCTGAAGACCTATTGTGGTCCATTGTTCATGGTTTAGATATTCACGTTTACTGGTAGTAGGCTGACACCTAGTGGTAGTACTGAGTAGCAACTTTATTTGATCTTCAGTTATCAAATTCTCTCATTATAATATAATATATGCCATTTAGCAGACACTTTTATCCAAGTGACTCATTAATATTTTTTTAAAATGTATGGGTGGTCCTGGGACTCAAACCCACTATTCTGGTGTGGCAAGAACCATGCTCTACCAACTGAGCTACAAAGGACCACTCATTGATGCTTCCTTTTTACTCCATAATCTATAATCAATTTGTGTCTTCTTTAACATAAACATTTATATTATACTAATTAATATTGCAAAACAAAATGTAAAAAAAGTGATTTATTTGAGCAAAATGGAAGAAATCTACACATGACTTCCATAAACATGCTTTACTCAAGTCCTGCTCCTTTGTATCTGTTTGCTCAACAGGCAGGGAAAGGGAAGAGGAGGAGGGGGGAGGACAGTGGAGCGATGAACGAGAACCATCAAGTGGCCATTAAGAGGCGACGCAGAAGTCAGGACCATGGCCAGGACTGTCCCTGATGCTCCAGAGGATGTCTGGAGGAGGGCAAAGCCAGGGGGGCAGGTCTCCCCTCGCTACCCAAACAGAGACCATGGGTCTGAGGCAGGGGTTGGACCATACCCCTCCACCCTGATCTCATCATCCCCTACCTACCCCTCCACCATGTGTGCTGTACCCCGCACGACAGACAGGGGGCATGAGTGAGTGGGGAAGGGTGCAAGCCAAACCGCAATCCTTCCTTCAGTCTATAACATGGAATCCCGTCCAGGTCCAATCCTCAACCTCTTGTGTTGCGCAATTCCTCCAAATGCACACCTCAATTGAACTCAAATCCACAGCGTGCATTCTGTTGATAATCAAATCAAATGAAATCAAATGAATCATATAAGATAATACAATACAATATAATTTTGTTTGGCATTGCATTTTCCCATTTTGCACATGCAGATGAACAACAGGAATCATTGTATTTTGGTTGCTTTGATCTATTGGTTGGGATGTCTGGGGTTGCCTTGCACCTTGGGCTTACAGTCACCATTGGAATCCTAAATATATATATTTGGCCATGTGGAACAGTGGTGCGACGCTGAGCCACTATAACAGATAAAACAGCTGGCATCATCGTCAGCTAGTTTTCATGACACCCGCAGTCCCAAAAGACTAGTTATGTTTAGACAATGAGTCATACAGTATATTTGCACAGACAGTTTGGCTGAAGAACCTCCCACTCTTTACTCTTGAACATAGAGAATAAACAAGTACAGACTCATGGACCATTGCATGCTACAGATGTTACATACTGTTATGTGTTTGCTACTCTCTTTGACTGTCCGGGAAGTCCAATAATGAAGCTTTAAGTCTCAGCTTTCCAAGCTGCTGTCTAGTCCTGTCTGACTTCAACCTTTCATTCTCTCCTGGACAAATGCTTTTTTCCATCTACGCTGTTAGAATTTGGGTTATGTGACTGATAAATAGGGCATATAGGTTCTAGTTGTGTAGTTCTCTTCCTCCCCAGTCCTGGAATGGGTGACTGTACTGTCTGACTCTGTTTAATACACTTATTTCCCTCTTATTATCCTCTACTAAAGGAGTGTTCAATTATGGACAGGGATTCACTTCGATCTTCAGCTAAGATTGTAAAACCACCAATGTTGTCTTTTTATGAAAAATAACACTCAATGATTCAAGCTTTGGATACAATCTGGGCTTTTTCTTTTTTTTTTTTACATTTGCTTATGCATTCGTTGGACATCAGGCCCTTGGGTGTCTTAATGATATTATTTATCATTGTGAAACAAACAAAAAAAGGCAAGGTTAAACTCAATATAAAAAGAAACCATTGACTCCTTGTGTATGCTTTTTTATTTTTATTAAAAATGTCTGTACCCAACACTATTTATTGGAAGGTAGTTACCTATACCTACAGTCATGCCACATGGTTAGGAGTTGAGTGTAGTGTTGCCAGGATTAGATATCAGAGCATAGAAACCTTATCAAGAGTTTCTATGCTAATAACGTCCATAATATTTGTTCACCAATGCTTTGGATACAAATGGCCTGCTTCAATTCGTACTGTTTTCTATGGGAGCCAACTATTAATGATATTGGACTACACTGAGCGTTAGATATAACGGGGTCTTAGAGTGTTATAATGCTATATATCACGTACTGTACAGAAGCCTGCTGTAAGTGTTATTAACATGACACAGATGCTATTGAAACTGTGTATCATCCAATGATTTCAATGATCAGAGATCCAATGATTTTTGCAAATTTGCAAATTCAGGCATTAGAGATTAAGCTTTTAGTTTGCATTGACCTGCCACCTACCCCAACTGTACTGTTAGTGATAAGTGTTCTTTACCAAGGGACATTAGTGAAAAAGTGACTGGATCTCAATGGTGTTCAGTCAGAGGAACAAGATGATGTCCTTCTGTGTGTAAACATTTTAAGATAAAATAACTTGGAAAGGAACAAAGAAAACCCAGTCAAAAAGCCCCAATATCAATTGCCTGTAAAGAGAACTTGAAATTGTATTTTTTTTACTCTGTTTTAAACCAAATGCTGTATAAGTTAGGTAATATCATGAGTCTAGTGTTGCTCTCTAGCGATATGTTTTTGTGGAACAAAAACCTATATTACTTGAGGTGTCAAACAAGGGTGATGTACTGTAGGTAGGACACCATGTGTATCTATGGAAATAAAAGCGGAGTCAGACACCATTTCAGTTGATGAGATAGTGTGTCCCTGTTGTAGGCTTAGTTGTATAATATCTTCACTACAAGTAATATATTTCCTGTTGTAACTCGTGTTTTATATTTTACTGCCGAACCCATAAGTTCTCTGGTGGAGGTAATGTAAAATATCTTCAACCAGAAATAAGGGTTGTTATACCCAGGCACTAAGCTATCAGCTCTCTTCACTTCTGGCCTGAAATGTCAAATACAGAAAGGGTACAAATGTCATATTTTATCATTTGACATATGAATGCAGAAGGCAATAGTACAAAGTACAACTTGTCACTCAACACAGTCACACTGAAAGTCTCTAACAGAATGATCTCATAGTACCACATACTGTAGGCATGTTGTATAACCTGATAACTGGCACACTTTTAATAGGCATTCTGTCTTACCTTACAAACAACGTCAAGCTTCCTCATATTTGAATTGCAAGGAGCACACAATATTAGACTTCTTCAGGTTTTGTACTTTTCTTTTTTATTTACTGTTAATGCAATACCATAACAGTGACCCTTTCAAACGCTTGTTTATGTTAAGATGACATCGGCATTATGTATTTTCAGTCTCTCCCTGGATTGGCTACTCTTTCAAATTTCAAATGAGTATTAAAAAAGGTAGGAAATAATGGGCCAGTTTCCCAGATCCAAGACTAAAATGGATTCTCAATGGAGATTCTGAGAGATATATTGAGTGAATATTACATTTACATACAGTGGGGAGAACAAGTATTTGATACACTGCCGATTTTGCAGGTTTTCCTACTTACAAAGCATGTAGAGGTCTGTAATTTTTATCATAGGTACACTTCAACTGTGAAAGACGGAATCTAAAACCAAAATCCAGAAAATCACATTGTATGATTTTTAAGTAATTAATTTGCATTTTATTGCATGACATAAGTATTTGATCACCTACCAACCAGTAAGAATTCCGGCTCTCACAGACCTGTTAGTTTTTCTTTAAGAAGCCCTCCTGTTCTCCACTCATTACCTGTATTAACTGCACCTGTTTTAACTCGTTACCTGTATAAAAGACACCTGTCCACACACTCAATCAAACAGACTCCAACCTCTCCACAATGGCCAAGACCAGAGAGCTGTGTAAGGACATCAGGGATAAAATTGTAGACCTGCACAAGGCTGGGATGGGCTACAGGACAATAGGCAAGCAGCTTGGTGAGAAGGCAACAACTGTTGGTGCAATTATTAGAAAATGGAAGAAGTTCAAGATGACGGTCAATCACCATCGGTCTGGGCCTCCATGCAAGATCTCACCTCGTGGGGCATCAATGATCATGAGGAAGGTGAGGGATCAGCCCAGAACTACACGGCAGGACCTGGTCAATGACCTGAAGAGAGCTGGGACCAGTCTCAAAGAAAACCATTAGTAACACACTACGCCGTCATGGATTAAAATCCTGCAGCGCACGCAAGGTCCCCCTGCTCAAGCCTGGGCATGTCCAGGCCTGTCTGAAGTTTGCCAATGACCATCTGGATGATCCAGAGGAGGAATGGGAGAAGGTCATGTGGTGTGATGAGACAAAAATAGAGCTTTTTGGTCTAAACTCCACTCGCCGTGTTTGGAGGAAGAAGAAGGATGAGTACAACCCCAAGAACACCATCCCAACCGTGAAGCATGGAGGTGGAAACATCATTCTTTGGGGATGCTTTTCTGCAAAGGGGACAGGACGACTGCACCGTATTGAGGGGAGGATGAATGGGGCCATGTATCGTGAGATCTTGGCCAACAACCTCCTTCCCTCAGTAAGAGCATTGAAGATGGGTCGTGGCTGGGTCTTCCAGCATGACAACGACCCGAAACACACAGCCAGGGCAACTAAGGAGTGGCTCCGTAAGAAGCATCTCAAGGTCCTGGAGTGGCCTAGCCAGTCTCCAGACCTGAACCCAATAGAAAATCTTTGGAGGGAGCTGAAAGTCCGTATTGCCCAGCGACAGCCCCGAAACCTGAAGGATCTGGAGAAGGTCTGTATGGAGGAGTGGGCCAAAATCCCTGCTGCAGTGTGTGCAAACCTGGTCAAGACCTACAGGAAACGTATGATCTCTGTAATTGCAAACAAAGGTTTCTGTACCAAATATTAAGATCTGCTTTTCTGATGTATCGAATACTTATGTCATGCAATAAAATGCAAATTAATTACTTAAAAATCATACAATGTGATTTTCTGGATTTTGGTTTTAGATTCCGTCTTTCACAGTTGAAGTGTACCTATGATAAAAATTACAGACCTCTACATGCTTTGTAAGTAGGTGTCACGATCGTCGAGGAGTGAAGGAGACCAAGGCGCAGCGAGTGAAAAGAACATGATGACTTTATTTAATAAAGCAACCACGAAAAACAACAAATGACGATAGTGAAGTCCTCTGTAACACTGACAGAAACATGGAACAAAAACCCACAAACCAAGGAGAAACCACACAGTTTAAATATGGCTCCCAATCAGAGATAACGAGCCGACAGCTGACACTCGTTACCTCCGATTGGGAGTCATATGACTAATCGAGAACAATACCCAAACATAGAAATGAACAACTAGAATACCCAACATAGAAATACACCCAAACAATGAAAATGAACAACCCTGGCTCAAATAATCAAAGTCCGTGGAGCCAGAGTATCACAGTACCCCCCCCTAAAGGTGCGCACTCCGGGCGCACCAGCATACAGTCTAGGGGAGGGTCTGGGTGGGCG